TCATTAGGTGCACCACATCAAGAAGAACTGACTTAGGCAAAAATCAAGAAATCGCCAAAAAATGACTTAGGCAGTTATTTTATGAAGGTGACGATATAGGGTGATACGTAAGAGTCTTATGTATATATATATATATATATATATATATATATATATATATATATATATATATATATGTATGTATGTATGTGTGTGTGTGTGTGTGTGTATATATACATACATACGTACATATACACATAAACATGTGAGTGAAACGGGAGTCGCCGTGATAATAAGGCTAAAGAAACTGATTAAGGATCTAAAAAGTGGATATCATTAAAAGAACCTACCGCAGTCTGTGCATGTATATAAGTATATATATGTACTTGCATATATATATATGAATATATATATATAAATATATATATATATATATATATATATATATATATATATATATATATATATATAAATACACACACACACACACACACACACACACACACACACACACACACACACACACACACACACACACACACACACACACACACATATATATATATAGACATACACACATAAGATTCATAGATCTAAAGACCCAGACCTAACAGCCGCAAAACAGCCCGCGGCGAGAGCAGACTAACGAGAGCAAACACAACACATCTCCGCATAATATTCCCCGAACGAGCCACTTGCCCCTCGTCCGGAATCACCTTTTTACGCGCTCGAAAATCTGTCACGGCTGACCAAGGGTTGTTCCGAGTAATTTCAAAGCGGTTTCGTAATTAGCATATTTGATGGAGTGAATCGAGAGAGAAAATGCCAAAGTGGAGGTAATGGGGGTAATTTCCAAGTGCTTTTGGAAAGGATTGAAGGTTATGATATAATCTGCACGGGGATAGATCGATGGATAGTTCGGTATTTTGGTAATGCTGTCTCCAGGTGTTGCGTGTTGGTGGTTTCGCGAAGATTAGCTTGTAATGGTAGCATCGTTGTTGTTATTGTTATGGGAGTTATTCTTCCTGTTATTGCTATTGCTGTTACTGCTATTATCATTATTTTATTATGATTATAAGTATCATTATTTTTATGATACTTATAATTCTTACTACTGCTCTAATTGTTATTATTCATAACATTAGTTGTAATATCAAATGTATATTACTATCATTGTTATTTTATTACTGTTATCATTAAGATTATTTATACCATTATTACTATTACTATCAATATTAATTTCATCTCCGCTTTTATCATTTGCTGGTAGGCTCTTTTATATTCTTAAATATAATTTTTTCCATCATTCGTCAATGTCACTATACTCAAAAGACGACAGATAAAAGAAGATTCATCCTATTTTGTAAGTACTTCCAGAATTATCTAATAACCAACCACCAATCATCAACAATCACGCCATTTCTCACTTGAATAGCAATAATCAAAAGTCTGTTTTAATGTAGACTTACCAATTTTCAGCAGGCGACCGTAGTTTCTTTGACCGACACGAGGGGCAAGGTGCAAAACCTCCTTGCAATATTAATCTTCACTGGAATCTGCATGTTACAAGTGTGCAGGCTGTCTTCCCTGGCACAGGACAAAATCAAGCTGAAAGAAAAACATATTTTTACATTTTCTTCTTACTGAGAAGAGCGAGGACATATTCCTAGCTTATAAGTCAAAGTGGCTTTATTTTACTTATAATGGCGATATATGTATATATATATACATTCACACACACATATACATACGTACATACATACATGCATATATACATGCATACATCCATACATGACATATATATTATATTTATATACACAGATATATATATATATTTATGTATATGTGTATGCATGTATATACGAGGGGCTTCGAAAAGTTGGTGGAAAAAGGACAGTATGAAAAAACGGTTTCAGCTATGATGTTTATTTTTCAACATATGTTCCATTAAGGTCAATACACTTCTGCAAACGTTGATACCAGCCTTTTTATTCAGTCTGAGTAAAACTGAGAGTCATGTGATCTGAATCATGTCAGAGCATCGCTTTTTGCGTCTTCAGCCGATGGAAAATTGGTAACTTTCAATGATTCTTTAAGCTTGGAAACAAAAAGGAGTCGGGTGTGGGCTAAATCGGGGCTGTAAGGTGGATGTCGTATGATTTCCCTTCGAACTTCACACAGCACAGCTCTTGTCTGCCGAGCGCCGTGAGTGGGTGCATTGTCGTGGTGGAAGAGAACGCGTTGATGCAGCTTTCCAGGGCGTTTTTCTGAGATTTTTTTTTGACAGTTTCATAATAAATGCTGCTGATATGGGCACAGCAGCCTAGGGACCCATCGAACAGAAAGCTTGCTTAGCTCTAAACTCTCCCCTAGTGGTTATTCGTCTATCCTTTTCAATCATGTCGCGAACAGCATCAATATTTTACTCACAACCTGACGTTGATGGCCTGCCACTGCGACTCATCCATTTTGTAGGTTGTTGATTTCTTTGTCACTCAAAACTTGTTCTAGAGCGTCATTA